TTATCTAATGTATTTGTTAGCTTCTTTGCTCCACGTTGATATCTTTTTTCAACGTCAGAAGCTGCTTCAGATGGTTTGAACTGATTAGTTTGCTGCATATATCCAATTACACAGCTTTCTGCTGAAAGACTTTAAGCAGCACTTTGAATTTTTAAATTCTTAATGAAGTTTTTCATTATTTGAATTACATGCTTGTAGTAATTTTTAGTAATGTATTCTTCTGCTTCTTGAGTGTTCTTAGACATAATTTTGTTATGATTTGCTGTAAATTCTGTCACAACAGTCTGAATATGTTCAATATATTCTAGACATTAAGCTTTTCTTATTCTTCCGCTAGTAATTGTCTGCTCCTCCAACGCAGCCAGATCACCCAACTCCTTTTATCTTTTTAGCAAATTCTCCATGTTTGCTTCTTTTTTGGTTGATTTTTGTTTGATGTTTTTTATTTACTTATATAATTTTTTTAACACTGTACTTGTTGCCAGAAATAGCCACAAGGACGCTTTTAACACTTGTTTGCTTTTATTTTACGAAAAGTATGTAAATATAAACTGTAAATATATATGTACTTTTATAATTGCGGATAGACTTTGCTATTCCGGCTTACTTTTATGCTTAATTTGCTAGATACGCTTTTTTTTTTTTTTTTTAGAGGTTTATAGTACTCGCACTTGAGCTTTTTCTTTTAGACTCGATTGACTCAAAATATCCAGTTCAACAAGAGAATCGAAGGACCAAAATATACAGTAAAACTCTTTAAACTTGTTTTGCACGGTGAGAGTTCACTTTTGACTCTGATCTTTATTTATTAAAAATTATTTCTTCAATACATTTTTTAATTCTAATGTCTTAACTAGGTATATATGTATATGTGTACAATGTATGCTTAGAGTACATATGTCAGAAATCAATATATACCAAATTGGCGAATCCTAGATTTGTAGTAAATCACACAACAACAACATTTTCATTCATGAACGCTGGCGTACATGCAATAAGCTAAGTAGTTTCAATCGTAAAAGCAAACGCCTTGCACATCTCCCCGAGCATGCGTTTGCCTAAAAGCGTCTTTTCGCGACTTTGTTTCTCCTTCTTCTCTTTATTTCCCCTTCGTGTAAGGTGAAATCCCCGATCGAAATTTTACAAATGTTCGCTGTCGAACCTGCACCTCGTTCTTCTAAGTTCTCTGATTTAACAACCGAAACGTTCCTAGCTGCCTTGAAAATATTTTTTGCTAGAAGAGGTAAAAGTCAAGATAAAAGTATATACTCGGATAATAAAACAAATTTTTACGGAACTTGTAGAAGATTAGACCGACATTTTAAAAAAGCAATTAAAAAACTCAACCGTAGCTCCCATTTTAGAAGCTTATAAAATTCAATGGCATTTTGGGCTGCCGGCAGCTCCTCACTTTGGAGGAATTTGAGAAGCAGGAGTCAAGTCGGTTAAAAATCATTTAGAAAGAGTGATAGCCGAAAGTAAATTGACCTTTGAAGAAATTATTACTTTGCTATCACGGGTAGGGGTAAGAATTTACCCGCGGTAAGGTATGCCTGTCGTAAAAGGCGGCTAAAAGCCAAATGAACTATGACTGTTATTATGTACCTTGCTCAGTAATATCAGCATAGTATGTCAGAAATAGTGCTATAATACTCAGCTTGAACTGATATTATAGATTTTAAATGAAAAAGCAAATAAAAAAACATTTGAAGTTCAAGCGACAAATGTCCCCAGTCATTGAGTAATGGGTTGCTCAACTGGCAGTAGTTTCGGCTACACAGTCTTACCGGAGACTTTCTGGTACCACGGGTAGAAGAAAGCCCTTGGACTTCGGTCCAATCTGCTCATTGGGTTATGGCCCCTTTTTGTTTTTTTTTTGAGATTCGTGGTGGCTGTGGTTGAAACCTAAATGCAGGAAGAACTGAAAATTCAGCCTAACTGTTTTTTCAGTTCTAAAATAAAGTTGCAAAAAGCAACTGGGTTCCGTACCCGAAAACGGAAGAGGTTTTAGGTCGGCCTCGAATCTTACCAAGATGGTAGTGTGGGCCCAGACACACTGCCACTGGTATCCAAATAAGTACTTGCAAATAGCTCGTATTGTTTGGGGCGCTTATCAACGCATTATATTGATACGCTGTGTTTTGGAATACCGTGAGGTAAGGCCGTCGCCGGTAGGTACTCACGTAAATCAACAACGAAAGTTGTACACATATACATATAGGTATACCTAGTTAAGTGATTAGAATTAAAACATGTATTGAAGAAATAATTTTTAATAAATAAAGATCAGAGTTAAAAGTGAACTCTCAGCGTGCAGAACTAATTTAAAGAGTTTTTCTGTATATACAGTTTGCACAGACGGCCGGGCCGTCACCCGGATTTCTACTCGTGTCTTCCTACTGATCATTTATATATAATACTAGCGGACCCGACATTAACGGATTTTACGCAAAAACAACTTTGATTGAGATGTGTTTTCAACAAATAGCGTATTTAAAGGTTTTGGTGGCAGTGAAATTTTTCCAGATGCGCAACATAAACCGGCCGAATCACCTTTGTATTTGAAAGCATGACAATATTGACATTCTTTGTCCATACTACCAATCATAATTAGCGAATGTGATGAATAGTCTATTTCATTGTCATATTCAAACGCAAGGCGATTAAACAATACTCGTGAAAGTGCTCGATGATTTGCACTCTCTTTCGTTCATTTTCTCTGTGAGCCTCGTTCACTCGCTGACGCGCCTCTCGTTGCCTTAAAGCATTAGCACGAAGACGTTGATTGCGTTGCCTTGAATTCTAATTTGCAAAAAAATCCTTGTTAAAATATTATCTAGTTGATCGAATTGTGAATCTAAACCATTCTCAAACCCCCTTGAAAACACATAAAAAATTTCATCAGAATCGGTCCAGCCGTTAAGCAAGAGTTTAATTACAAACACACGTACAGAAGATTTAGATATACAAAGATATAATTCCCTGCACCTAATAAGTTTTATATCTGAATTATAAGTTTTCGATTAATGGCGTTATGCGGGCGTGACAGTGGCAGTGACCCATCTACAATATCAACTGTCTTACGGTACCAAGAAACATGTGTATCAAGTTTCATAAAGTTATCTCAATTTTTACTCAAGATACAGCTTGCACAGACGGACGGAAGGACAGACAGTCACCCGGATTTCAACTCGTCTCTTCATTCTGATCATGTATATATACATAACCCTATATCTAACTCGATTAGTTTTAGGTGATTCAAACAACCGTTAGGTAACTACAATATTATACTATATAGCAACAAGTTGCGAGAGTATAAAAACTGGCCTTTAGGTTAGTGTTTGTCCTGCTATAAAGAAATTTGACATTCGCTTTTGCTGCGATTCTATTGGCACACTGGAAAAAATAGTTGTTTTAATGTGATAAAGTGGGTGACTACAAAGAAAGAAGGGTTTATTTTCCAAAACATATACAAAATTTATGGACTGACCTGTCTTTTAAAAATACAAATCACAGATCACATCACATTACTCCTTTAAAATTTAAAGGAAGCATTTTAGAGCCAGGAAATTTTAAAATGGTGGTGTACGGGGTATGTTGAAAGGTGATTTTGAATATTTTTGAAAAGTACTTATTTATTCATAAATATTATATCTATTTTGTCGGATATAATACACTTGTGCAAACGGTTTTTCCAATCCTTGAAGCACTTCAGTTCTTTCTTCGATTCCGACTTGATCTCATCAATTGTGGCAAACGCTTTCTTTTCTTTGGTTCCTTCAGTTTGGGAATAGGAAAAAGTTCCAGGGAGCCGAATCTGGTGAATACGGTGGTTGAAGCATGATTACGGTTCGATTTTTGGCCAAAAAATCACAAACAATCATTGATGTGTGAGCTGGTGCATCATCGTGATTCAGAATCCACGTTGTATAACATCCTTGTAGTTTTCCTCATTAACTATACGACCTTTTGGCTGGAACTTATGATGCACCACACCATTGTAATCAAAGAAAACAGTCAGCAAAGCCTTCACATTTTATCGAACTTGGTGTGCCTTTTTCGGTCTTGGCTCATTTGGCAGCTTCTATTGGGATGAGTGAGCCTTGGTTTCGACGTCATAACCATATACCCACGTCGTCACCAATTATGACCCGTTTGAGCAAACCCGGATCGGTGTTAACGTCATTCAACAACTCCGATACTAATGCTTTTGCTATTTAGCAATTTCGTTCAAAAATCAAAGAGCACACAAAAACGCGACTAACCTTTTGTGTTGTCAAAAACAAACTAATAATCGAAATTTGCTCCTAATGCAAGCACATGATAAACATATCCGCTTATTAAATCAAAATTCACCTTTTCCTTTGAACACACCTCGTATATGGGTATATTTGTTCTAAGAGATTGCGTTGGTAGTGATGATTACTACCATTTTCTCTTATTGCACGCAGGTATACCATACGACTACTACTACTATCATGCAAGAAATCATATAGCACTGAAGCCAATGTTGCCTAATAAATCTTGGAAGAATTCGTTGATTTGTTTGGAAATATGTACGGAGACCATTTAGTTAGTTACAATATACATGGTTTACTCCATTTAGATGCCTGTACTAAGTATTATGGTGCTCTAAATAACTTTTCCGCTTATAAGTTTGAAAATTATATGCAATATTAAAAAAACTTATAAATATGGTAACCCCAATAAAGTGCTGCAGCAATTACATATAAGGCTTAGAGAAAGAAATAGTTCAGCTTTAAGTTGTAATAGCATTTCAAACATTTATTCATTTAATAGAAATTTTATGAGACAAAAAGACTTATTGTTTTAATCAAAAATTAATACATAAAAAGTAATAGACATGACAGACGAATCTGGTAGCGTTGTGGTATCGATCTCACCAACTTTCAGCTTGTTGTGAATTTAATTTCACTCTCACTTTTTGGTCAAATTTGTCCTTTTTTTCATGAATCCTCAAAATATATTTATCTACATCTCCTGCATGTAAATTTATGGTTTTCGTTTTCAATTTATTTTATGCATTTGTTATTGTAGAGCAATTGACATTGAAGCAGAAAAAGTTTAATATTTCTGGTTGCTACAACTCAGAGCCAAGCTTATCAACACGATAGGATAGCACCTGTGGATGGAAACGGTAATCCAACACCAATCTAAAATTTATTTCATAAAGAGAACTATCTACAAGAGGTTGCTATTTGGAAAAGAAGATGGACAGTTAAATGAATCAAATTTTTGGTTTTTGTTTTTATAGTTCTATAAGTCTTCATCATAGACAGCGAACGTATTGTATCCGTTTTGTTGTTACAGTATTATTTAAGAATCCTCTAACTGCATATATTCTCTTTTCAGATAATTCATAAAAGCAAACATAAGCCGGTCCGCAAATGTAAGGTTCTCATTTGCAAAATTCACCATTCGGTATGCCGACTGTCTGGCGAGGAAGTCGATAACGCGCGAACTGAAATTGCTTCCACCCTACCATTGACAACGCTAGCTGAAGCTTTAGAAATGGACGAAAAACTAAATGGCGAGGAATTTGGTACTTCAATGGTTAGTAATGTATATAATTTCTTCAATTAACAATATTTAAACTTTTGCATAATTTTACAGAAACAGTTTGTTATAAGGATTAAGGGCAGTTCAGACAGTGTACATGATGTTTTGCGACATTTATACGCTGATGAATTTTTGTATCTATGTAACTGGGATGGTATCGAAGGGAAGCAACCCCTATCGAAATTTCTACTGGTGCCCGATATATTGTATGGTAAAATTATTACGTACATACATATTAACTTTAAAGGATATGTTTTAATTTGTCTTTTCATTACATTTTTTTATAGATTTTTTATATTTCGTTAGCGGACCGTGCTATTTCAGTGGGATTTGTAACATATCCACACCTTGATCAATGTCTTGTAAATCAATCTAAATGTTTTTAAAATCTAAATAAAGCTAACATCTGCGTTCTTATAATAACTTCTATATAAAAATTAGCCTTTCAAATGATTCCCTTTAAATAGATTACATACAGCATAATTGAAAATACGGTTGGTTAATTCCACTCTCCTTGATAATATTACTAAAAAATAACAAAATTAACCCGGATAAAATGTTAGCATTTCTTTGTTTAATTATTTATTCCTCTTATAAAACCAAAACCCACAAAATTACTAAAAGAAGTTTTCTTATGAAGTTAACGGTACTTTTGTGTCGCGAGTGCTATTTTTTCTGTTTGATTATGAATTTTCTGTCAATCAGTTCAGTTTAAATAAAGCGATAATTTGCAATTTTAAGCAATGTGAAAAGTAATAATTTTAAACATAATAAAGAGAAGGGAATTAAGTTTAGAAAAAAAACATATATCAATCCGTCGTAGGGGTTATAACTCCAGAACGCCCAGAAAGAAACGCTTTGTTAGTGGTGTCAATAAACAGAAGACAGTCACATTCGCTAAGCAACACGAAAACAAATATTTAGCTTTTTCGGATGAGTTGAGCTTAAATATACATATTTGGATCACATGGACGTATTAGAGTATGGAAAAAGCCTAACGATGAACTCAATCCGAAAAATAACATAAAAACAATTAAACACGGAGAAGGTGGAGTTTTAGTATGGGGGTGTATGTCCCGTGCTGGTCTCGGAAACCTTGTTATAATCTATGAAATAATGACCAAAAAGGTTTAACTTAATGGTTAAATTTTATTTTCTTTATTGAAATTAAATACTTAATCTTTAGTCGTACCAAGACTTTGACCATTTTTATTGTTATTGGAAGAGAAAAGTGAGTTTTTGTTTTTATAAAAAAAAGGAATAATTAAATAAAGATATGCTTATAATTTATTCGGGTTATTTTCGTTATTTTTTTATCAATTTTAGCAAAAAGATGGGAATTAACGAACTGTACTTTCGCTTATGCTGTACACTGAATATAATAATACTATTCAAATAAATGTTACTATTTATAGTTAAATGATCGTATTTTTCTATTCTAGACTTAAATACGAAGAGTGAAATAAGACTTGTAGTTGGCTATCTTGCCTACTATTATTACGTCCCTTATTAGGTTAAAGTTAGGATTAAAAAGGCGATTTTAACAACGAAATCGAATAATTTTCAGAAAATTGTCAAATTAATGCTTAAAATACCTTTCATCGGGGTTTATAAAACCCATTGTATATATACAATGGTTATGAATACTTCATTATAAATTTGTTGTGCAAAATCAATTATTAATCAGCTGATTGAAACACAAAGACTTACAATGTTTTTCAAAATAGGTATTTCGCAGCAAAAATGCCAAGGAAAACTGAAAACTATGTAATAATGGATGCGCATTGCAAGAATGAAACATCAAATCTATTGATACTTGACTCAAATGAGTTTTACCTTTTTAAGCAAATCTACTTGTGACTATAGATTACGAATCAGACAAGTCACAATAGAATACCCTGGAAGTGTCCATGTCGCCAAAATCTTTTTGAATAGCTTAGTTGCAAAACATCCTCAACGCTTTTTATCAGATTCGCAGTAGATTGCTGGAGAGATGAAGCAATTTTTATTGACACCATTTTGGCAAAACAGTACTGACCACACTATGGAAGAAAGAGAAAGTTTCAACAAGTACTTTTCGAAATATCGTTAGCGAATTGAGAATTGTGTTGGCATTTTAAAAGAAAAATTCGGTAACTTGGATCCACTGAGTGGATTATGGTATGCTCCATAAAATGCTAGTTTCTCCATAAAATGCTAGTCAATTTCCATATTGAAAACGAAGAACGAATTGAATACATCTTATCATCTGGAAGTAACACAAGAAGTAGTCTTCTTGACTTCATACAAAATCACATAACAACTTAATATACATCAGTATATGGTTTTCCCACATGTATATTCACATTATATTGGTTTGATTAACAAATAAATAGAAAAAATTGAATTCAAAAATTAATTGTAGAAGTCATTATTAAAATGAAACTTCAGGTACTCCAAAAATTTTAAATTTCCCTCGCACCACTTTATTAACTCCCCCTTATTTCTATTTGTGTTTAATTCCTCCATTGCCAATTTTTCTTTCATTTGTAATTCTATTTAATTCTGTTTAATTTCCATTTAAATAAAAAATTTAGAATTTTTCATGCGATTTACTATTTTCCACACCAGTTTACGGTTTGAACAATTTGCACAAATTTACAATCTCCTCAATACTTTTTATTTTCTTTATACGCATGCAGAAACAATAAAATTTAGTTTAAATGACAAATCATAATCTTAGATTTTATGGTTTCGCCTTCCATACTCCTTCATCGGTAAGCTCTACCACTTCTGTATATGTTGTACGCATATACGAACCTGAGCGTGTCACCTTCCAGTCCACCATTTCTTAAGACGATCTTCTATAATTGAAATTATAATAGATTAATTATTTGCATTATTTTATAAGTTTTATTTTAGATAACTTGTAAGCTACGATTTTTATAGGTTTGGACTTGATTTCATCATTTTCTAAGTAATTAAATATTGTATTTAGTTTTCTTTTCTCCTCCAGTGAGGATTGCATTTAAAAAATTTGTTCGACCCGCGTCACCACACTACTTGTAACTGATAATCTTTTGGCTAGGATATTTCGTAGTTTTCTCCCTTTATCTTGCCAAGGATATCACTTAATACACGCACTGCACTTACATCGATTATTCTTACAAGATCCTTTGTAGTTTTCTAACTTTGTTCTGCCAAGGATACTTTTGATTTACACGTGCTCCACATTGGCGCCAACTAATATTTCGTCAAGAGGATATTAAAAATATATTTCTATTCGCGAACGCGCGGAAGAAATAAGAACACGTTGTCCTTTGATTGATATAAAAGAGTTTCCTTTATTTCAACTTACAATTATACATTTTTATTTATTTATATCACATAAAGATTGAAATCAGAACAAACAAATAAAATTTTTGCTATTTAGCATATTTCGGCAGAACGTTAGTTTTTTTGTTTACAATTATTATTGTTATGCCTACGAGAGAGTCACCAGTAATGTTTTGATTGAATGGATTATTCACCAGAACAGAAAAGCATATCAATTCTTAAATCAACAAAACGTTAATAAAGATTTTCTTACGCGACCGACTACAAAATTAAGATACAATTTTATTTACAGGTACGGCAAAGATGCTGTGTGGAGGCTGCCGTTAACTTGCATACTTATGTGCAAAGAATCTCTTCAACGAGCCACAATTTCTATCAGTTTGCCGTTGCATAACTTCCTTGTATCTACTATATACACTGAACTCATGATGCACCACACCATTGTAATCAAAGAAAACAGTGAGCAAGCTTCACATTTGATCGAACTTGGAGTGCTTTTCGGTCTTGGCTCATTTAGGCTTCTATTGGGATGATTAGCCTTGGTTTCGACGTCATAACCATATACCCACGTGTTGTCACTAGGTATGACCCATTTGAGCAACCATCGTTGTTGACAACTCAGTATTGCTTTGTTACACTTAGCAAATTTCGTGAAAAATCAAAGAGCACACAAACGTGACTAACTTTGTGTTACAAAACAAACTAATATCGAAATTGCCTCTAATACAAGTACATGATAAACATATCCGATTATTCAAAACAAAATATCGATAATCGAATGTAGAAAGCTAGCGAAAATCAAAATTCACCTTTTCCTTATTCCGCTTATAAGTTTGAAAACACATGCAATATTAAAAAAACTTAAAATATGGTAACCCCAAAAGTGCTGCAGCAATTCATTAAGCTTAGAGAAGGAAATACTAGAATTAAGTGCAATAGCATTTCGAAAATCTATTCATTTAATGAGATTTTAAGAGACGAAATACTCTTATTGTTTTAATAAAATTAACCTATAAAAGTAATAGACATGACAGACGATCTGGAGCGTTGTAGTATCAACGCATTGATTCTGAATGCCGAAACTAGTTTCAAGAACCATTAGAATGCATCTGGTTTAAGTATTTTCTATAATTAATAAATCCACTTTTTAAATAGAAAAGCCGATAAAGTTTATAAATATTTTTATTCTACATGAGGGTAAGTTTTATTTCCATTTTCGTCTAGTCGGTCAATTTAGACATTTGATGGTACATAAATTAAACTAGCCAAAATTGATGAGATTGTTTAATATATAATTATAAATAAAATTTCAAAGTTCCCATCTTTCCCTTTTTTATAAAAGAAAATAATAAAATAAAGAAATTCTAACAATTTATTCGGGTTGTTATTTTAGCAATACGTAACTGAAACGAAGTACACCGA